GATTGCTGATTGACCTGAGTGCCAGGCTTCTAAAAATTCTCTGGTGTTTTTGGAGTTTCCTCAGTCTAAGATTTCTACATTTTTCCAATCGAATGAGTGTCCGTAGTTATCCACGTGTACTGATATAAGTGAAGAGATATCATGGCGTTTGACTGCTAATCGATGATCATGTAGGCGAAGGTGGAGTGAGCGTCCGCTTTGTCCGATGTAGTGTTCGTCGCAGTTGGTACAATTTATCTTGTAGAAGATGTCTGATTTGTTTTCCTTTGTTATTTCATCCTTTGGTTTGCATAGGATTGATTGTAGTGATTTTGTCGGTTTGTGTGCTTCACCGTCCCCTAAGGTTTTCAGCAGTCTCGTTGCGGTTTCTGATATTCCTTGTATGCATGGTAGGGTGATCCTTTTGTTGATTTTTGTGATTGACTTGGGTTCTGATGCTGCGTGCGGTTGGTGTTTTTTGGTCAAGTTGATTGGGTAGTCGTTCTTTTGAAATATGTCCTTCAGGTATTTCTCTTCATTTTTTCGTGCTGCCAGTGTGCTGCAGTGTGTCCTCGCCCTCTTGAACAATGTGTGTACGCAGTTGATTTTGTGAGCTCTTGGGTTGTTGCTGTTGTAGTTGAGAATTTGATCTGTATGGGTCGGTTTCCTATATAACTGAGTTTCTAGTTTTCCTGTGTCGGTTCTAGTGATCAATATATTGAAGAATGCTAGTTGGTTGTTTGACTCCTGTTCCATTGTGAACTTGATGAGTAACTCTCTCACACCCGACATGGATAGGACTTCACTTGTCACGGCTTCTCACTAGAATTTAAATACATCACTTCTACCTGAAGTTCGTTTTGATGATGATGTTCAGAAGAACAATGAAAGCTTCACAACTAAAGCATCTAGCTCAGGGAAAAAGACCTACCAAAGTTTTAATGAATAACAGATTTCTATCATCAGTTAGAACAATACAAGAGTCAGTAAATCCACTAAAACTTTTCGAAAGTGCATCAAATTAAAATACCCCGAAGCATTATGAAAGAGTCATGCTATTACAAAGAACAAAATAAAACCTCCTCAATAAATGCTGAGTTTATCCTTACATTCAAACTAAATATTTCCAAAGATTATGGTAAGGATAAGAGCTCCTGATAGAACATCAAACTTGTATAATATACCTTATATTTCAAACACTTCAGTCGATAACGATTCACATCGAAACACCTGTTTGTCTAAACTAGGTTTTAAATATCACCTCTCCAAAGAAAGACCTTTTTTCTTAGATACGATGGCTGGAACTGCAAAATAACATTTAATATTTTGACTGAATAGGTCTATGAAACATTTATCAGATAACTAAACTCTACAACTTAACCAGACTTTCATTTCTTTTTACTTACAGATTTTGAATGAGAAAACATCATATTGAATGATGGCATGAACGATATCAAACTGAAAATAAGAAAGACAAATTATTTGACAGATGTTTTGTTCTACTACCGGAATTCCCAATAGTGTGTGCCTCTGATCCCACCAGTGATCTTAATGCTTCAGTATTTCATGGTAGCTTTCATCAATATGGCACAATGAGAGTCTAACCAGCTCAGTATGTAAGCTAAATAATCAAAAGTTACTTAGGTCTATTAAAAACAACATTTTTATGACAATCAAATGACCACTTCTTATTCACAACAAGTTTGTTTAAGGACGGAGTTTATCTGAAGAACCATACAAAATTATAGATCACTGGACACTTATTTCACTAAGGTGTGAAAACTTTCAGCTACTATTTTCCTAATCCTATGAATGGGTTACATCCAGGACATGTAAATCCCTTATCACCAAACCTTTGGTGATTTTAGTAAGTGACTAAACCTCTTAGTGGTATAACCACTAATAACGAATGTAATGCCGTACTGAAGATTTCAACTACCGAATCTTAGAAAAATTACTAGTAAAAAAGTGCGTTCTCCAAAATATAGAAGAATAATCGAAATTACTTGAATGAAACGTATCTCAAAACAGGCTGAACATTACAATTTTTATAATCTATCTCTTGACTGTACTTTAAATTTAGCTAATCGCTATAGATATCTTACGCAGTAAATCTGACTAAACACTAAAACAAATGTATTTGGTCTAATTTAAAACGTAAATAGAGGTATGATGTTTAAATTTATCAGTGGTTTTATTGTTGGGCTCCATTCATTTATTGAGTTCAACGTAATTTCACATTTAAATCATAGGGAAGCATGGCCTAAATCTACTAAAATTCCCATACGATTGTACCCATACCATAAGGTAACTTATAATTAATATTTGCGGAAATCTATCACTGAAAACTATTTAGAAATGTTTAAATTTCTTAAGACATACCTTTATGTTTACCCTTGAACTTCGCCGAACAATGGCGCCTATATATATAATATATAACATATATTATATAGTATTATATATACATATATATATATATATATCGCAATAATGATGGTTTACTAACATATTACCGGAAGACAAAAATTGTAGTAAGATATGTTCAGTAGCTAATTCGTTGTTAAAATCTATTATTCCCAAAGGGCGTGGCACCAAATTATATGTCCTGGTGGTCGGTTTTAGTCTAAATGTAATAAAATTACTAGTTTTCAATATTTTATTATGCACCATTTATTCTGTTCATCTTACACTCAGGTCATAATGCTTCGCACAATATATGAACATACATAAATAAGGTGAACTGTTATGAAACAGCCAAAAGTGTCTATTATCCATAATAATTTTTTAAATAAAAAAAACAGACATTTTAAGTGTAAACTCACTGATATAATTTGTAAAACTAAAATGTATTCACATTCACAATAAGCCATGCTCACAGGTGAAGGAATCTTATAATAACTATAAAATGAATAAATCACACCTTAATCATTATAACTCACTATTCACTTATCAATCAGGAAATTTCAGTTGTATACTGAGAATTTCATAGCTTAAGATAATAATGAGTGGGACATTTTCAAAACTTGCCAATTTCTATAAGGTCTTTTTATGAAATAGTATTTATATGTATCAAAAATCAGCTGAACTATAAGTGGTCTCTCACGTAATCAGCTGTTGGTTTATTGTTTATGAATTAATAGTTGTGTTTTAAGCATTTTATAGGTTATGATGGAGAAAATCTGGAAGAGATGGAAAGTTTCAATTAACTGGTTAGCATCATCGATGAATGTGGAGAATCTGATGCAAACGTAAAGGCGAGGATCGGAAAAGCAAAGACAGCATTCCTACAATTGAAAACCATATGGAACTCAAAACAACTGTCAACCGAGATCAAGGTCAGAATTTTCAATACGAACGTCGAAACAATTCTACTGTATGGAGCTGAAACTTGAAGTACTACTACAACCATCATCAAAAGCATACGGGTATTTCTAAACAATTGTCTACGCAAGATACTCAATGTCTGTTGGTCGTATACCATCGACAACAGTCCACTGTGGGAAAGAACAAACCAACTTCCATCTGAAGAGGAAATTATGAAAAGACGTTGGAATTGTATGGAACAAACATTACGAAAATCACCAAACTGCATCACGAGACAAGCGCTAACATGGAATCTTGAAGGGAAACGGAAAAGAGGAGGGCCAAAGAACACACTGCGTTGGTAATTGGAAGCAGAAGAACAGGATGAATAACAACTGGAAAGAAATGGAAAGGATTACTCGGGACAAGTTTGGATAGGGGATCTTGGTGAGCGGCCTACGCTACTTCATGAAGGGTAACAGGTGCAAGTAAGTAGATATGAAAATAATTCATTTTTTATTATATTTACAAATAATAATATTTTATTAATTAAACAGTAAACATTTTAAAACTGTCATATTAAAACTTACAACTCTACCATCATAGCAACAAATAAGTGTCATGTAAATTTGAACAATTAAAGAAATTTTTATTGTATGGTTGTTTGAAATGAAACTATTCAGAATGTCAATGTCATTTATTGAATATAAAGTAAACAATTGTTTATTTTCCGAGAGGGCTTTTGTTGATATTATAGTAATTTAATAGTTGAATTCATGAGTGGCGCAATTCCATGGATCGATCGAAGTTAGACATTAACACCGTCGAATGCCGGCTCAGTGGTCTAGAGTTTGAGCGTTCACGTGCGAGTTCGATAGGTCCTGGATTCGAATCTCGCAAGCGGGATCGTGAAGGCGCACTGCTTAGGAGTCTCATACTTGGATGAAACGTTCGTCCAGTGCTTTCAAGTTTTCCATAATGGTCTGGCTTCAATGGACTCATGAATTCAACTACTAACATGTTTATTTATATAAATAAACATTGTGGAGTCAAACATATTTTATTCAACTAATAATGAATTTGTTGATGTAATATTTTCAGCTTTCATCTTATAAATAATCATTGAAAGAGTTCTTGAATATCTGGGCTACCTTTTCCTGTCATCTGGATATTTCAACAAGTTATCTGTTCCTTGTCTGTTTTAACACATCATTATGCCTGTTACTCTGATAACCTATTCAGGTGCATTTGTGAAAAGTTTACGACATTTCTCTGTACACCTCACAAACCAGCCCAATCAGGAACATCGTGGTTGCTGGCTACATGCATCGAAAAAAATATACATTATTCAGATGTCGAGTCCTGAACTGCCAAAATCTACCTAGCGACCACTCAATATTTATCGCAAGGTTCGATCAAGAAATGAGATAAGGAAACCTGTTGAAACAATGTGTACTGAGAATTCTATATCGTACCAAAAATTTATCATTGAATAAAGCCAATAATAATTATATCACGTAATTGGGATAAAGGACAACAGTTATGTAAAATTTCATGGTAAATATAAGATAAAAGAACAGCTTTAATTCATGCTCCAATCTTCAAGATCTATACAAACCCAGACTGTATTATATGTTGTGTGTTAGCTTAGAAATTACTAAACCCAGAATTATATGAATTTCCATGACCATAAAAAATGAAGAAATACTCTAACTTACAGTCTAAAACTTTCATTCCAAACAGGATTTAATGTTTGCTCTTTGACCTGAGTTGATTTCATTATTCCAACTGGAATATGTCCTTCTTTATTAACTACAGATTTAGACGATGCAGCACCAGCCATTTTAAATGATTCATTATGAGATGTTTGTAGTTTCTCACTTTGGTTTGTTCGCTTATTAAGAGATTGACTAAAACGTCGAAATGATGAACGCGTAAATGTAACACGATTATTATCGAAACCCTTTTTTCCTGAAGCGTTTCGCATTGTTTGTACAGTTTCTAAATCATTTTGACTAGATGTTGTAGTCTTTATAAATGAATCAGGAGTTGTAGATTTCTCATTCTGACCCACATAACGTCCAAATATTATTCCTAGAATACAATAAGGATCACTGAATCCTACAAAAACACAATAGCAGAATAATTATATTATTTTAAATTAATTAATCGTAATTATTAAGCACACATTAAAAGGTTGTTTTATAGTCAGTTTAGAAAACACCGTTGTGTAACGAATGATCCAAAGATCTTAATTATACAAGAGAAAAATACCTATCTGCAATAAAAATAAAGAATTGAATGATATTCTACATGAATTCAATAATTTACAAAACTCAAGTATTTCTACATAAATTTGGAGATGAACAGAATTTCATTTCTTTGGTGCTTTACTGAGACGGCTCTCAGCAAAAAGATTAATCATATTGATAGCCAGGTCAAACGGACAGTACACAAATTTCTGTGATTTAGTCCTTTGACCAAAGTGGAAAAATTAGCTTACTCTCTATCCTCGACAATATGACTAATTTACCCTGAAGATACTATCGAGAACAAATTGGATAAAACTCTATAAATGCTTTCAAAAATTTCCATCCTTTTAAGTTCAATGCATGTTTGTCCATAAGCGAGTCTAATACTACTGATTATTCTATTTATAAATACCTAACCAACTCTAGTTATGTAGTCGTTCTATATTATGATTTAAAAGTACGTTAAATCAAAAATGTTTAAACAACAGAAACATTGTCAGTTTATCATTTCAGTTCACATTTCCGAATCTATGTATTTAAAAATATTTGCAGGCCTTCATTTAAGCTAAGTTTTAAAAGAACGGCAATTAGTCTCTCCCCATTTCAAAAGACCTACACATCAGAATTCCTTCATCCATTGTTCATTAGTTACTCGGTAGTGTGTGCTACTGACGTCGACAGATATAAGTAGTATGTATCATCAGTCGAAAGCGGAATGCCTGGAAGCAGAAGGTTGAGAAAACCGAAGAGAAGAGAACGAAAACAGTGAGTTATTGACATAGAAAGGAGGCAACAATGAAGTCTGAGACAATTGGTGGATATTTTTAAATGAAGTATTTACTGTATGGTTCATAGATTTTGCCAAGATATTCTGTAATGTCGTATTGAAATACATTTGGTTGTTCCCACTGATATTCTTGTTCAATACAACTTCAATTAATTTCATAGAAATTATTCATCCAAGAAAATCTCGGTCTAAGGTAATCTTTGTCATAGCTCAGGTGTCTATATGTATATTAAGCACTAAATAATCATATGTTAATTTTTTTAAATTAAGACTACATGTATGACTACCGTTGATTTATAAAAGTAATTTTTATTTGTTTGTATCATATGACCTCTACAAATGACAATCCAATTAAATTTGACTACTTCTTGCCTTCAATTTGTTTTCATGGAATTGATAAGTTCAATAGGCTTGGAATTATGACAAGTTTGTTGGAGAAACAAATAGAAACTAATGCAATGAAAAAATTGACGGTAAGTTTAAATTTAAACAAGCTATGTATAGTCAATGGCTTTATTCACTTTCAAGAGGTTCAAAATTTTAATCGTCATATTATAGACCAATGGTTCTTTAACAGAGAAATGAATAATCCTGATGGTTTAAATTCTCTACAGAAAATAAATACGAAACTGAGACACCTGAATTCTAAATTTTTGTTTTTATTTTTAGCTGGTACTTTCTTAGATGAATACAACTTTGATGTTACAACTTATGCTCAAACTATTTATCATCATTTCTATTTGGGTTTCTGCATAAATTATGATGTCCAAAGTTAAATAACTCTTCAAAACATATGTAAAAAGCTGTATATGTCCTACATTTGTAGTTTACAATGTATGTAATACATTATTTCATAATGAGATTTATCCTAAATTTTAAGTCCGTTCATTAGCGTTACATTTCCTATCATTTCTATATCTTGTAAAACGTTATATCCGATATTAACAATTCCAACTTCTACTGTGGAAGTTTCTTGTGTATAAACTAATATACCTTTCAGTTTCCACCTCATATCTGCGTGTTAAGACAATAAGTAGCTTGTTCACTGACGCTGAGAATAGTTGAACTATATATCACATATACTTCAATTTGTCTCCATTTTTTGCAACTATTATTATTAATCAAACGATAAAATCGCAAACTTTTCATTAAATGGTTATGGATACTACACCAGTATTTTTAGTATCAAGTAAATCTTGTTTATCGTGTTTCAATGTTCTACCGTTACTGGTTCTGTGGTGTATGCTATTTAGGTCGACAGGTATAAGTTGTATGTAACACTAATCAGAAAAGGAAAAACCTGACAGCAGATGGCTAAGAAGATCAAATTCAAGAAAATGGAATGAAAAATATAAAGGAATGTAGGCGATAATAATTGAATCATTCACCATTCTTATTTGTTTATTTCTTCAAAAGCTATCCCTCCTAACAAATAGATACTACACTCTGTACTGTGCCATGCATACATACGACTTAGGTATATGCCATTATAGTATATAAGAACACGAGTGAGGACAGCCGTACGTATTTGAGAACGAAATTACAGAATATCTCACTAAAATCTGAGAACTATACATTAAATACTCCATTTGCAAAATACCAACCCATTGTCTCAAACTTTACTGTTCCATTGCAAATATCAGTCCGTCGTCACAGATTTCATTGTTCTTGCATTTTCACACGAACTGCCTTCCGTTTCCGTTCTTTCCTTCTCGATGTTCTACTGAAGTACACTCTATTTCTGACTACCGTTATGTACTACTTATGTGAATATAAGTAGATCACACCAAACTATTAGTTCATATGTTAAACATTTTAAAACAGACTGTGTAATTTTGAACAAATTATTTTCGGATTTTCAAAAAATTAAACAACTATTCATAAAAATACTTGAAAGCTACTTGAACAATTGAAAGTGAAATACATATATGATCATAGGGATTTTTCATCTTTTCTTTCGATATATTTCCCATTATTAAATGTACTACAACCAGACAAGCTTAAAAACATTCAACCCATCGAACCGTTTAGTGTTTTGTTTTCGTAATGAATATAGATTGCTTTTTAAAAGAAAAATACTAGGAAAAAAATTGGAAACGCCCAAAATTTGAACTCTGAACAATAGCCAACATGTACTTATGTAAATGTATGATAGAAAGTTATCGATCACTGGAGGCTGGTTGATCACATTGTCTCTACTGAACTGAGTAAGTATTTGCAGAAAAGAAGAAATTTTTATCCGATAAAGATGTTTTTTGTATTTTGGCTAAAGCTTCTATGTACAGTTGTCATTTTTAGGCCCAAAACTGTGGAAAGAACTTTCCTACGAATTCATTCACAATAATTATTATTAAAATGTCTTGGTGTTCTCCTCATTAAACATGAAACTGAACACAGTAGATGAAAACATTTACTATTCTTTGCTGTATAATACTACTGGATACTTATCTTAGTTAAATGCATATATAGCAAGAATATGATCAGTCAACTGATTAGTAAGTCAGTTTTCGGTCTCATCATACAATTTGCTTTAATGTTCACTAAACTTCTCATCTACAAAGGACATGAAAAATATCAATTGGATCCGCTCAAATATCTTCTTATTAGCTCCTAACAGTTGTAAACTATAGGTTGTATTGTTAATAATAACAAGCAAGTGAATGTCCTTTAGTAATTGAAAAAAACTATTGAAATCCAATTTTGTGCTTGATGAAAGCTAAGATAATAACCACTGGAGCCTAGGGTAATAACCACCAAACCAGGGCACATGCAGTCCAGCACGAAGCCAAATGCATGTATCATCAAGAAAACTGAAATATCAAACTTACATAAATAACAAGTAAGACTGATATAACTAATGAATAAAATGTGGATTAACATCTAATGGAACGAATAATGCAAATGAAAATAACTACAATCAGTTAAAACCATTAAATTAGTAGATTTATTGTTGTATAACTAAAATAAACAACATGGTTAAAAGTAATGTAGATCTTCATTAACCTTCTTTTGAATACAAATATCATGCTAGAAGTGGTTGATTTTAATATAAACTTTGTCTTATAACATGATTGTTGTTCATTTTATGCTGTATTCATTAAATATATCTAGAAAATCAAATACATTACCTACTTTGAGTTTTCTTATCTTAATCATTATGATAAAAAGAATATACTAATTAATTAGTATTAAGGTTTTTTCAATCATTATTTTATTTCGTACATGGACGTGACACTATATTCATGAAAGATTGTGGATTAGTTTACGATATGATGGGAAGAAAACTTAAAATTAGATTGATTTCTTCATTATGATTTTTTTCCAGTTCAGTGTGATGAATATCTAGTGTAACATTCAGTTTCATTTTCTCGTATGATATTTTATTCTGTATAATATGCGATATTCTTGTATTCAATTGACATGAACTATGCTCAGTATGCGATTTGTTATAACTAAGTATTTTTAATATATGTGATTTCATCATAACTATTAATCAAAATGCGTGTGCGAATCAATATATAAATGAGTGTATTTTTGATAAGGGTTGTCGTCGTGTTTTGGGAGTTAATAAATCTTCACTTATACCCGTCTTTGTATTTTTACTTTCGCGTCGTGGGAATTTTCAGAAGTCCCTCGTTTCCAGTATCAGCGATAAACGATTCTGACATAACAATCAGTGACGACCAGATATAACAGGTAACGTTCAATCGATAAGACATATCAGTATATCGTTTGGCCTCTGGTTGATTCTACTTGATACGTAGTCCTACTGAATTAAATGCTTATATGATAATGGAATGAATACATTATATTTTTGCCTTGTCCATTATCTATCTATGCTATGCTTGAAACGATTACGAGTTCACCTAGTCTGCGAACGGAACAAAGACTCTGTGACCAAACACTAATAAGTCAGCTATTCTGATGCGTCCCAGCCCCCCTAACTAGAGAGAGAAGTCGACGTTCGAAACGATGGGATATATTCCTTAAGCGGCCAGAAACACAAGCAATCACGACACATAATGAGTAAATCAATCTGGTTTTGACTTCTTATCCCGTCATAACAATCTAATAACTTGATTATAAAAACTTAATTTTGTATTAGTTTGTCAATAAATTCATATTTTGCACTGAAAAACAAATCAAACATAAAAATCTGTTTAATCTTTAAGAAAAATACTCACCATTTAAATCTTTAGCTTCCAAGTTTTTAGCTTCAATAACTGAAACATTTAAAACTAAGACAGGTGGCTACAAATAATATTAAAATAAAACAATGTATAGTATGAAAATATGCACTGAGGTAGCTTTTAAGTAAGAAATACATTATAGTACACTTGACAATATAATTTTAGCATAATAAAATATAAAACCAAATTATTTATCCCTTTAACCACTCATTATTTCATTATATCACAGTTTGCAATGCAAATATGGGTTTCTTTCCTAATTACCATGCTACGTAATTATCTTTCTGCATATTATTTTTCGATATTCCTATGAGAAGACGAAGTTTATCACAATCATGTAATACGTTTGGACAGTACATTTCGAACAATCTAATCACATGTAATATACTTGCTAAGACATTTTGATATGAAAATTAAAAGGTCAACTGGACAAATTAAAGCTAGGCCGTAACAAAGAAATAATAATAATAAAGTACACAAAAACAATATGATTACCACTCTGGATAATAAATCGGTATTACCAGGGTAGGTTAAGGGTAAGAACAAATTGTTTCTGAACCCACAAAGGAGGTTTCAGTTTCTGCGTAGCCAAGGCTTCAATAAACCTTACTATACGTCCTTGAAGGCTTTTGTATAACATTACAAATGCTGATTTTATATCAACCTTATGACCATTTTCAATCAAATGTTTCGCAATTGAGAATGATATCTGTCTATCCTGTGATTTTACTTGACAATTAGAATTCATTTGCTTCTGCAGCCATTTTAGTATTTGTTCACCCATGCATATTAGTTATTAAATTTTTCACAGGTTGAAATCATGAGTCAATTGAAGCTAGACCACCATGGAAAACCTGGAAGCACTGGACGGCCGTTTCGTCCTAGTATGGGACTCCTGCATAGCGCTAAACATTATTAAAGTCAGTTGTAAACTGAAGTATGAATTTTCAAATTGAAATACTGTAGTGTGTGCTACTGATGTCGACAGATATAAGTAATGTGTATTATTAATCGAAAATGAAATACCTAGTAGTAGAAGATTAAGAAGATTGAAGAAGAGAGAATGAGAACAGAGAATGATTGTTGTGGAAATGAAGAAATAGTGAAGATCCAGACGACTGATTGACAGTTTACAAGTTAAGTATTCAATGTATGGTTCTCAGATTTTACTAAGATATTCTATAATTGTGTTCAAATACATTCGGCTGTCCCCTACTTCTGTTCTTGTTCGCTACAATACTACCATACTCCAGTTTACTCTGAAAGATACTGTACCACGAACTTAAAGTCTGTTCATAGCTATACTGATAACACTACTTAGTTCAACAAAATGAAATACATACATTAGAAGTATTTCTCTTTTATGAACAAACTGATTGTATTTTTTAGGATTTTGGTATTAAAGCTTATAAGAATCATTTGAATCATTTTTGATGATTTTTCTTATCTATCGAATTTTATTAACATGGAGAAAATCAAGATATGGGCCACCATTGAATATTATGAGAAGGGGGTTTTGCGAAACTTTTTAGTAATTTAATAGTTAAAATCATAAGTCAATTAAAGCCAGATCACTATGAAAAACGTGGAATGCCGGCTCAGTGGTTTACAGGTCAAGCATTCGTGTGCGAAAACGACAGATCCTGGGTTTTAATCCGGTGAAAGGGATCGTGGAGTCCCATGCTAGGACGGAACAGCAGTCCAGTGCTTCCAGGTTTTCCATGGTGCTTGACTTATGATTTCAACTATTAAATTACCGTCGCATGGTTAGTTTATATCCAATTTATATTATTAACTTATTCCAAATTCCCTTACAAGATCTAATGTTTTACTACTCATTTATTCATAAATCAAGGACCTAGTATAGTGAACGAGAACACAAGTGGGAGACAATCGAATGTATTTCAACACAAAATTACATAACATTTTAGTAAAATCTGAGAACCATAGAGTAAATACTTGATTTGCAAAATATCTAACAACTGTTTCAAAATTGACTGTTCCTTTTGCAAATATTAATCAATCGTCTCAAACTTCATTGTTCCTTCATTTTCATATCAATTACTTACTGTTCCCGTTCATTCCTTCTCGACTTTCTAATGCCATATATTCCAGCCCTGACTAATGTTATATACTACTCATATCAATATAAGTAATACACACCACACTAGTATTAAATTCATTAAACTTTTAATTATATATCATATGTTCAAACCTTAGTTGTTGAGAGATATCACTAGTAAATAGACAAAGAGTTACTAATACAAGAAAATATCAAATAAAAGTAAAACTATTTTATTAACTAACAATGAATTCATGACATTTAATTTTGGATCCCTTTAAATGTTTTTTCCAGTAAATAAATATTTCCTTTTATTTTCAATATAAATAATATTTAGATTAAGTTTTCAATTCAATCCATAATAGGCCATTTTGTATTCGGATCATTTAACAATAACTATGCCCATAATTATGTATTTTACAACTATTCATTTATTTGTTTAAATTACAGTCTTAATAATTCATATATATATGTACATGTTGAAATATTGAATATTGAATAATGCCTAGTTAAGGTGTACTCATGTTTTACAAATTTAATTATTACTTAAATTTTTTTGTTTTCTAGATTCATTTTCTTGTTTTGCTTCATTTTTGTTTTATTTCCTACCATATCATTTACTTAATTATGATTATACTTGAATAAACAGTTAATTCTTTCATTTGTTTTTGTTGTTGTTCCCTATTATCTTTCAACTATTCATGATAATCATAGTTTATTTGTTTTAAACACACATTTAATAATCATTTTTAATCAGATTTGTTTCGTTACATTTTTCTGGTATTGAATAGTGAAATGTTTTTAAATAAGAACTAAGAAAGTTTTCAATAGTTGAACTCATGAGTCCATTGAAGCTAGATTACCATGAAAAACCTGAAAACACTGGATGACTGTTTTTTTATATTGTGGGACTCGTCAGCGGTGTGCATTCACGATCCCATCTCTCGAGACTCAAATTCCGGACTGATAGGTCCTGATTTTATAGAAAACCAAATTTATTTACTTTATAGTCACTAAATGAAACGTTTATATCTTACTTCATGTTGATTTACTGTTAGAAATTACACTTTGACATTATATGACCTGATATGTATTGGGAGAGTTGTCAAAGGGGTAGTTTTCAATCTGTTGTCTGAATGATGAAGTATTATGTAAATGATTGACTGTTTTTTTATCTGCAATGAAATCATGTTGGGACAAGTGAAGCAGACTTTTTGGTTGACGCATTATTGTGATTTGTTTATCAGAACACACTTTTATACCAGAGTTGAACAATATACAAAGTAGCCTTTCAATCTTCAGAAATGTTTTTATTAATTACCGAGATGCGGATATTTTTACAGTCATATAGACAATATCAGTCGGTCAAATATGATAAGATAAGGATTGTTTATTGTTTGACAAAGTATGAATGCAGTGTGACGATTAAGAGCTTAAAGAAATCAAACATTGTTAATGTCAGACACTTGGTGTGAATTGTCAGAGTTTCCAAAATTTATATATCCTACTTGTCTGTTTTATTCAGTAGGAATTTTGTACATTCTGAGCAAAATTTCTGAAGTTATTCCTCCTCTTTTGCGTTCATCACTATATTGCAAACCATTCACAAAACAAAATACTCTAAAATAGTTTATCTGTTCAAAAGTTACATTCCACAATTCGGCTTATATCTAAACGTTTACTGGCTATTTATATATACTGAGCGAGATATTGTGTGGTGTAATTCGTGAAGAAAACCACTTGTACTTTCTTGTTATACTGTAAGTGGAATTCATGATAAGCACTACAAATCAATTCGGCTATCTATTCTTGGTATTTTAGGGGAACACTTGTATTCCCTACATTCCGTATAGTTTCAAGAAAATTAATTATTATGAGATACGAAATGAGACGGTTTCAAATGGATAAGTGACGAATAAATCAATTACGACTAACAATGTTAAAGCACATAGTAGATTTCCTTTACTTCAGTCGAACTCTGTAACCTATCAACGTCAACTATATATATATATATATATATATATATATATATATATATATATATATATATATATATATATATATATATATATATATATATATATATAATCCTGTATAGATTAGATAAAAATAATAAGAATTGTGAAACACAAAGTTAGAACCTTAGTTTATTTCAATAATCTTATAGTGTAGTAGAAGTAGTAGTATGATCTCAACATAAATCAATAAACATGCTTTCAACTAATTACAAATTAAGGTTGGTTAAGAAAACTTGTGAAACCTGAAACAGCGTTTGCTTGTTATCTAACATTATATTCCATAAATCCTTGAATTATATCTTTCGTCAATTAAACTAACACAAACGTTACTAGATAATAATTTGTTTTCAGTGTAAACATAAATAAGTCCACTAAGAACTGGAATACCAAAATTTATTTATTCAATGGAATAAATATTTACCACTTAAGCTGAACAAAATTTCAATGGACTCTGACTAACCGACTAGCTCCCAATTTTAAGTGTGACACGAGTTATTAAGTCATATAACGGATGTAAAGAAGATGGTGAATCGCTTGTAAATTTGCAGGTTTTGTATTCTATATACCATTTTCATCACTGATCGTTTACGGTTCACATCAAATGATAATGTCAGTTACAAAATTGTCGATATAATCATGTTACACGACTCAATCACAACGTTTGGCGTATGTATTGTGCTGTGAAATATTTCAGCTAACTTTATTGGTTTGCCCGTCTTATGATACTAGGAATATCTTCCAACTAAGAGGAAAGGCAGAATTCGAGAAACGCTTCTATTCTCCCTTAAGTTACATACATGAATAGATAATATAAACTGAGCGTTTGTTATTATTTACTGAATGGACTATTGCTCTATAAAACTGATGCGTTAATTGGAGTGATCTTTACTCACCCTTCGCTTTACAAGCTTTCCACCTACATTCTATGTGTCATCGTCGATATACTGCGCAGACAGACCAAAATCTGAAGAAAAATAAAACATCCGTCCTCCAGCTTTCGGCTAAAACCCACAGTTTTGCTAACTAGTCGTCTGAATAATTGTTTACCATTCATTACTCCATCTTTATCTTCAGCTAGAAAGTTTGCATGATACTTGTGTTGAATTAAATGAATAAACAAACTAACGAGTGAGTTTCAAAATGTGCATAGTACTGCCGTAGGACTAGCTCTTTATCATAGGATTAAAATTGTAACTGATAAATTTACACTTTAAAGGAACAACGGCTGAATTGAGACTACATTTTTAAATCTTACAAACTATGTCGCAATTATGTTCCTGAAATGTTACCTAACATGTAAAAAACTCCACAAGCATAAGCTGATAAACTCTGTAGACTGAAAAATTATTCATTCTATTAGTCTATCTGTATATACTACATTTTATTAATACCGAAAGAGCTACCAAGTCAACTAGAGTAAAACGTGAATTAAAAAATTCCCATGCAATGCCGTGAAACGCGTTTGAAAGAGATTTTTGGAACTCTACTTTAGCTGTTGTTCAAACTAATATTTCATATTATATGGTAAGCTGTCGAAATTCTTAAGAAATAAGTGCCACAGTTTTGTTTAAATTCTAACGACAACAGTTTTACACCGCTTTTGATCTGAAGGCAAATTCATCATTATTGGGGGTAGTCTATACAGTTTAGTGTTTTTATTCCATTCTTAAGTTGTCTATAACTATTTATTCTAACTTCAAGGCCAACACAGGTTAATGAAAATCAACCTAATACACCCCTTAATTTCAACGATAACGTATAAATCCCTACAAATAGTAGACTACCCACCAAACGTCTTTGCAGTTATCTGTGATAAGTACCCAAGGTGATTGCTAGCAGGTTATCAAAGCGATTAGGGTAGCGTCTATTTTACAGTGTTGGTGTTAACGACTGAGTGCAGTTATCAGATTAAAGGGTATTGATAAGAGGGAACGAGCGTTTCTGAATCTAGCTCTAGTCATCATCCACATACTATGCTTTGGTGTGGTGGGAGATGTTTTAAGCTGTGTCGATGGCAAATGACAGGATGCTGAAGCGATTTATTTGCAAGTGACAGATAAAGTTCATACATATTCGGTAAACTGACAGCTTGATAGTTGACTTATTATGTCAAACCGTGACTTATTTTTTATTTTGCCTCAAGTAAACAATAATGTGTCCAAATAAATAACCAAATCTATTGTGTCTAAATGATGTACGAATTAGGTACTTAACTGGTTTAAACTCACAACAAAGTGTTTGATAATCACATCACTTATTTAAATTAAATGTGGTTTGATTATTAACACTATGAATTATTGTTCATCTGACACGTTTTCAACAGATTTTGCAGGAAAATTGAATGCATAGAATGGTTAATTTCCCAATTTTAACACTATCCACTTATCAGTAGTCGTTTACGTCAAAAATATCTATTTTACACATTTAGCTTTAAATAACGTTCCTTGGGTCAGGCAATCTGAACTACTTTATTCTAAATTGAGGATTAAAGATAATCACTTAATATCTGTATAAGAAACTATGTCCGACTATAGGTTCGATTTTATGGCAAAAGTAACAGTCGTGTGGTGTTTGTATGAACTAAGGATTTTTTGCACCTGATGACTGCCTGATTTTGAATTCCAGATACAAAACGTTCATCTGTACTCACCTAATTCTTTGTAGCCTGCATTGTGTTATTTCGAGAATTCTTAATTAATCTGTTAACGAAAAAACGCCTGTATGTTTTAGTCTCTCAGAGCTCCTTATTTCCCATATCTTCTGCAACAACTCAAAATGGCAACACCTAACTGCTCAAAGCTGGTCTGACATCAAATTATTTTTACTTTCATATGAGAGAAAGCTGTAGCTGATAGAGTAACGCATCCAGTTATATATTTGGCCCCGTAAAATATTGTATTTATGGGATAGAAATTAGAATAATCTGATAACGACCTCAAAAATGCCTAACAAAGTCAAAAAACAGACAGAAAAAGTGCTTATATACCATAAAAATATTACTATTGGTTTTTCAGCTTATAAAACCTCAAACAAAAGATAAAAACATCTTTCTAATATTAAACGAACGTATAACTTCCAAAACTTTTTAATATTCTTAAACTAACCTCAGCCTGACAAGCCTCCGTACGAAGATCGTCGTATACCTTTGTAGGTAAGTCGAATACGTTTTTCACATATTGGTCAATAACTTCATCGCTACATGAGAATTTGCTGCTGGATTTCCCTATTTGATTCTTCATAGTGTATTGCACCCTGACAAATAAATACTCAACCTGAAAGAATGATCAAAATCTATGGGTTACATCGATTTCCTCGAAATCATCTTTGACGAGTTGAAAGTTTTCAGGAATCTCAGGAGATAATAACTTGTGATTTAGATCAGAAACACTTTTCTCCAGTTCCTCACAGGATAAATTCGTGAAAATTTTACAGTCGTACATTGGACTTCTGTCTAGAAATTTAATTATGTCCGTCTACTACTTTCGTTCCACAATGGTTATGTTTCTTCTCGATAGTATGAGAGCATTTTCATAAACGTTCTCTTTACCGAAGGCTAACAACTGAACGATTCAAACAATACAGAACGGTTTAGCTTTTCTGTGTTGTATTAAGAAATTATACACCCTAAAATACACCTTGTACAATATCTATAGCCTTTTTACTAAGAGTTTCAACCATAGAGTTAGATGTGACCACAGTTCTCTCAGAGGACAACTTCAAGTGAAGATTGATAGCCATGTACTATCTTCCTTCTGAAACAGTCATGTGTGATGCATGTTTCAAAAATTATCATTACTAGCATTATAATTCCTGTTGTTTTTGCCACAGTTGTCGTTATTATGAATGCTTCAACTCTACCTGTGTTAATCATTGTTATATCCATTTTTCTATCAGTCTTGCACACAATTTTTTCCTTATTCTACGTATTTTGTCTGTGTAGTTGTTCCAATCATTATCTTTGTTTCCCTATATTCTAATCTTAGAATTTCCGTGATGCGACTGAAAAACCTGTCCACTGATATTATAGCTGCTCTTTCCATCATCCCTACTGACTTGGAAAAAAACCTATTCATTTACACCTATGGCATATTAAATCCTAGCCATTGACTTAATCCACATGGACTAGTGTAGCTCAGTGGTCGAGCGATATTGACGACGCAGAACTATGCTGTTACACCAAAAAATGACCTCAAACTTCGTACAGAAGGCATATGACGTGGAGCATTATATATGACTTTTCCCATAGTTTGGCTAGAAAAAATACCTCATTTTGAACGTTTTAAATTGATAGACACCGTGGAATGATTTTGGTTCAATTACCTGTGTGTAAGGCTGGTGAAATTTTACTGAGCCCAGATCAAGTCACCCGGCAGTGGGGCCACTGAATATCGTGAAGTTCACCGATCCACGTCAAGGTCAAAAACAACCTATGCACATCACTTAATCGCACGCCATGGACTGGCTCGTGCAGCGGTGTTCACACTCTGTTCTTTGTACCTAACCCTGCTAATATATTTCAGTAGTAACGTGGTTTGTGTTGCACGGTCATCAAAGCAGCCACAGTATCCTGATGTGACCAAAGGGTAATCCACGCTAGTTACCAACCGTGAGGAGTGAATTCTAGGTGAGCTGGTTAATCATTATTTCTGTCCAACTCGAGTAGGCCTCCAACCATCCGAAACACATTGTCTACTTTAGTGATCTACATGTGTTTTCTCGACATTTCAGGCCTCTTATAAATTAGTTTTAGACAAAAATGACAGTCATACACAATACGTTCTGTAAGAGAGAGAATATCTTACAAATTCCTACAAAGTGTTTTATTGTATAGTATTTTTATCTCTTTGTTCTCTCACTCTATTCTTTATTTTAACTTCTACTCGGGCCTTTTGTAACCACGTTCTTTAATCTTCTATGTCTGGCTTTCTATGACTTGACTTTGGTTAAAATTTGCCTCTAATATTTCGTTTCGCTGTTGTATGCTCCCGAGTCATTGATAATATGATAGTGTTTGACTGAACTTGAGACTCGATTGATGACCGCTGGCTTTTAACTCCTTGCTGGAACGGTAACTTGAATACCTGCATATGTTTATTTGATTCCATCTTGCTGGGGATACTAATATCGATTTCCAAGTACCGAACATTTATTTATTAACCATTCCTTCTGATGTTTAACATGGTATATTGCTTTGGAGAAACCACTACTGTATAGCACAAACTGTACTCTATGAGGCACTTTACACTTTTGATATACTTTTGCTCTCCGTGCGTCAATATCATATTTCGGACACCTCACGTCACAATATTTTGTTCGCTAAACCTCTTCTACCCTTCTTTTACTCTTTCTGCTTCCATTTTTCAGCGTCATCGTGAAACGACACCAAACATATGTATACGGAAGATATATATAGCTCACAACACTGGAAAAGTAACATGGGAATTATCTGTAGGCTACATAAGAGTTTTTACTGAACAACTATACATTTCCTGATATATTTCACACTGTAAACCGTTTTTTTACCTTATTACCACTATTTATTCACCACAATTTCTTGGCGACAACGCAGCGTCTAGTAAACACGCCAAGGCTTATACTGAACATTAAGTTTTTATTACCATTATTCATATTCATCGGAGCTGAGCAAGTGCCAAACTTAATATAAGAATACCTCACAAAGGTCCAGAAGAAAGCAGACAAAGTGAGAGCATTATCGAACTTCATGTTCCTGACATTATCAGGAAATGTCTACCATAGTATTCTCGAACTGAACATAAGATCAAGTGGGTGCTCGTCTTTGAGACCAGCAAGCTGATTGATCATGAATCGACTAAATCAGATGAAGTCTCAAAATGTATCAGCGTCATTCATACCAGTATGCTTTGACATTCACAAGAGAAAACACAAGGTTTTGAGCACAAATGGAATTACACTTTACGGTAAAACTCTAAATAATGTTGGCTGCCTTCATACACCTGAGCAGCGCCATTGAAAAAAAGGAAGGGCAACGGTACTGCAGTTGAAGAATATCTAAAACAAACTATTTGTCATTCAACACCAAAATCACAATTTTCAGCGCAATTGTCAATTCAGTTCTACTGTATAGGGTTGAAGCTCAGACTATTACCACTGTTGTGACCGAAATGGTAAAGACCAAATATTTAATCCAAAACTACTACGATTCGCGCAATCATGTGTAGCCATTCGCTTTCATACATATAGTGTGGCTTATATTTAAATATATGGTTAATAAGTCGACGTTAATAATTAAGCACTTAATAATGAATCAAAATACTACAGACATTTATAAACAACCGTCCACGAAGTTATCCTATGTTCATTGGCCAGAGACAAAAATCAATGTACACTATAAAAGATACATTTTCAAGAAATCGTGTTAGCGTAAATACATAAACTAAGTCGTTATCAAATGTGATCCTTAATGATTATTGTGAAAATAAATCTTCAGTACCATGAATACTGCTTTTTTGACCCAAATGAGCATATATTACTGGGTGGTAGCACTTGGAGATCCGTTTGCGGCACAACATCATCCGACTGTAATTTATCACCCTTATCAGTCAGGCACATGTTTAAGTAACTCTGTAGTTTTTTAGCAAATCCTGACCACTAAAAGCCACGAGGAATCAAGAAGCATTGAACTGCTCTTTCTCCTATGAGACATCACCGCAATACATGCTTACGACAACAACAGTGACCGAACCTAGGGCATTTAGGCCTCCAGAAGAGCACTTGACTTTCAGAAAAGTGAGTTGATATTCAATGGCTTAAATTCTCAACGTCTTCTGATTTGTAATGCAGCATCAACATTATCTCTTGATATTGGTCCCACTTATCTCACAACGGATATGTTTGAAATTCATTGGCCATGAATACTGGAACTGTAATTTCAGTGAATAAATACCCATAACTAAACCAGGTTAGAAAAAATGACAAAGTTGTGTTTGATAGTGAAAAATTAAATCTAAATATATATTGATAAAAGAATGGATAAACCAAAAGAATGAAAGACAGAAATGAATACTACAAATAAAGATCAAGAATACATTGATTTATATCTGTAAATTAAATCAGATAATATGTTCCTATTCCAAAGTAATTTGTATTTACTAACAAAGCTCAGTTAAACAGCCAATTACTTCATAGATTGGTTTCATGTTACAATTTCATCAAGCTACAATATTACCTGTGTAAGTACAAAAATTTAATTTTCTAAAGAAAAGTATTTTGCGTGCTACTTATAAGTAGTATAAATAAGGAATTGAAAAGAGTCCCCACTGGCAGAAGAGGAAAATTAGTAGAAAAAGAAAAATAGAGAGCGGTCGCAGTAACAACAGCAATGGAGGGACGGTGGAGTTTGCAGCGGACATATTCAGGGAAATGTTCAAATAGTACACATAATGCATGATTTTCATATTTTACCAACGCAGAGTGTATGTTTTACATAAACCATTGTGTTTTGCCCTGCCTAAGCCTTTGTACCTTACAGAAGTATCAAATTATTTTCTAAAGCCATTGATCACTGCATTTGTGACTTGAAGGGTTATAATTAGTTCACTACTGTATAACATATATAACTTTTCACTTTTCAGATTGATTTGTTGCAATAAATAAAGTTATTCTACTAGTATTGTGTCATTTGATTCTATTGTACTTAGGAAATAATTTATTGTAGTCTTCCATAAAGTACAAATTGTTCACATGATGTTAACCAATTTGTTGTAATTTTATTAGAGCAATCGCTATATATATCAATAAATGTGAGGGAACTAGATTGTTATGCCCAAGTACAAAGTGAATGTATGATTATATATAACAATTAAAAGTATTTGAATTAATGTGCTAAGAATTTTCGAAATAGTGCTATGTAGGCCAGACAGAACTAGATGAACACAAATAGAATTATTGCACTTGAAACTCTTAATCTGAACTGAATCAAGTTAAAAAGAATCATCTATCAGTACAAGCATCACAATATAATAGAATAATAATATAAAGATGAGAATTACATAGTAAACATGATATTATGAAGATTGAAAAAAAAACATAAGTCGATTGAAGTTTTACGTACAATAAGCAGAATAGAGATAAAAGCAGTAGTGAAAGAAAAGAGTAGTTCAAAGAGACCTTCAAAATGAAGTCTAGAAAAAGTATAAATATTGAGAATTGATATCGTCAGAAGACTTTGATATAAATGACAGTCCTCCTTTAAATGTGATAACTTTTAAAAAAGAAAATTCAATAAAACTTTTTAATCATGGTGATTTATCTATTGTAATTATGATTGATGATAATGTCTTAGATTATAATCGTTTGAAGTAAATCTGACAGATAAGTTATTCTTTAAACTTTTGTCCAATTTTTCATTGGATTTTCATTAGAACTTAATAATTGAAAAGATCGTTTCACATACTTTTCT